GACGAGCTCACGCTTCCCAAGGTCGCGACCGCTGCCCCGAAGAGGCCCACTCCGCCGACCATCGAGGTGTCCACCATGAAGAAAGTAGCGCGCAACCGGTAGACATACATGCACGCATCGATTTGCGAAGCAGTGGAGCGATGTAGAGATGAGGCATCGACATCGATCATGGACTGTTGGATTCCCATGCAGTTTTGGAGTTCTTGCAATAGTTACCACGAAATATACATAATCGTCGTCGTCGTCGTCCGCTTCGTCGGCGTCATCGTCGTCGCCGTGCCCAGTTCCAAATCGCGGTCGAGCTCGAAACTTAGAACGTTTATCCAGGGCCGCGTATACACTTAAACCTCCTACAACTTACTTAAGACGCTTAGGCTCCAAACCTTGTGTGTTTGTTCTTTCGGGGAACGCGGTTCACGACGCCACGTCAGTCGAAAGTCGCATGCGCCTATCGCTCGACGTCGCGCGTTGCTTGTTTGGCTCCAGATGTAGATGCGCCCCCGCGCGCTTCTAGGAATACGTCGATGTCGATATCCGACACATGGTGGATGCAATGGCCTGGTGCGTGGACAAAGTTGTTCGCGTGCGCGCCCCTCACATGGCTTCGCCAGTCATTCTGGACGATTGCAGGGGGCTAAACGGTTGTGTATTCTTTCACCTCAAGAAGAGCTGCGATGTGGTGTTGAAGCTTCTTGGGCATCCGCGTTCCAAGGGCATCAGGCCTCTTGTTAACACATCGATTTGTGAAACATTGGAGCGCCTTAGAGATGACGCATACAGATCGTCATTGCTAGCCTCCTTGGACCAGCTTAGCGTTCACGGAATGGAGAAGACATCCTTACCGCCGCCTGGCTCCAGGACATGGAAGAAACGATTCAGGTCGAACCACGACGAGATTCAGGGCACCACAGCGACGGTACATGGTCCGACCATGGGCGACATCAAGGGCACCCCTTTCAAGGTCATTATCGACAGGCCTGGGACCCCCCTGTATGTGCAGCTGGAGGAGGACCTCGTGATGCACTTGAAAACGCGCTGCGAGTTCGAGATCAAGTCGGGACCCGTCCACAGGCAGCATCCGTCCGAGAAGGTTCCTGCTGAGCTCAAGGTCGACACTAAGGAGTATCCTGGGCTGAGCTTCTCTTACACCAAGAGCCAGTTCGTGCTGAAACGTACAGGCGATGACGGCCGTGTGAGCGCGAGGTACAGGACAGCGAGCTCCGCGGCGGAGGCGATGCAGTTGTTCGAATCAGCTCAGGCAGGTGAGGACTCTCAGAGCAATGCTGGCACCTCCGACGGCGTTGCCGCCGACGACGAGAAAGAGGAGCTTGTCGAAGTCGAGGGCGACTGAGAGTTTCGTGACAAGGCTGGCACGGAAAAAAAGAGAGCATCGATATCGTTATCCTCCTCCTTCCTCATCGTCCTCCTCCTTCCTCCTTGTCTTCCTCCTTCCTCAGCGTCCTCCTCATTCACCCGTCCTGTCCAAGCCCTGCTGCTCATATGATGTGGTGGAGTTTGCTCCTCTTGGGCGGTCTATATCTCTACGTATATACATGGGTCTATAATATTTCTACATATATCTCTACACATATATATATATATATATATCTGCACATATATACAAGTGTCTATATATACATAAATCCCTGCGTATGAGGGGGATGTGTCTATATCTCTACATATATATACATGTGTGCAAGTACTATGTGGCAATGCTTACATGCGTGTTATATGTGTACGTATATAGGTGCACGTAGTATGTGGTAATACTTGCCTCATCGCGATTGCACTTGATATTGCGTTGGATGTTGCATTGTGATCTGGAGTTGGAGCCAGCTGCAATCGATGTCGAAGAGCACGGGTGTCTCAGAAGCGGTCTCGAGCTCCCCTTATTCATATTCTAAATCCAGGCTGGAGTCCTGGTTCATTCGTCGCCCTGATGGGTTTGTCCTCGCTGGGCCCTTGGGAGTGGTGAGCTTGCTCGCCCTTGGGGTCCTGTGTCTTGGGCAGCCCTGACGGGTTTTGCTGGGTGCGGAACTGGCCTTGGCGCCTACAGGGGAGCCCAAAGTCGCTGTGCGAACTGCTGGGCTGCAGTTGGCTTATCTTCCAGATCGACAATCGACGCTCGACAATCGAGGCTGGCCCATCGACCATCGCCTACTAGCCATTGCGGCTCTTTGGGTGCACGCGCGCGCCTTCGGCTGTGCTGCAGCGCACTCTTACAACCTTCTCTTCCTGTACTCTTCCTGCGCCATGGAGGAGAGCCGCTCGATGCAGTTCGCGCAGGTCGTGGGTGTCATCACCTATGGCCAGATCCACAAGGACTTGGTGAACGGGACCGCGCACGAGTGCGAGCGCATGGGGTCGAAAGCCATTCGCTTCGACGTCAGGCGCTTGTTGACGAACGACCCGAGCAAGACGATCGGACACAAGGAGAACGGTCTTCACGCACAAACCCAGAAGACGGCGATGTCACAAGCAGGGTTCGCCGACGCGTGCAAGGACATCGTCATCGAGGTGTCGAACTACAAGACCAAGGAGTGGCCGTCGATCCTCGTCCTGGTGGAGTGCCAGCACGGCTTTCATCGCAGCGACACGGTGGGCCGCATGTGCAACGCGATGCTGAACTTCATAATGTCGAGGAACAAGGTCGAGGGTATGCACGTGCGCGTGTACAACTCGAAGATCTTCAACTCGGGCGAGCAGTGCGGCAAGCGCGGGCACATCAGCATGCTGGAGAGCGTCAAGGCGTGGATGGCGCCTGGGAAGGCATGGGAGCTGGCGGAGGGCGGCGAGGCGCCTTTTTCTCAGCTCTACGCGAGCCAGGCGGTCAGGGACGACCACATGGCGTACCCAGCGTGGAAGAGCCTGTGGGACTGGGTCTACACCGAGTACCACATGGTGCGCAATGTCGGGCCTGTGCCGCCGCCAGGGTCGCCGCCGCGGGCCGAGAAGTCGCGCAGGATCGGCGAGGGCGGCAAGGGCGGCACCAAGGGCGGCAAGGAGGCTGGCCCCGTCTACGGCAAGTCGGGGGCCAGCAGTGCTTGGCGCCCAGTGCCAACGCGGGGGGTCTACGCCCGCGAGTCCGACGATGCGGAGGAAGAGGAGAGATACCAGGAGCAGGAGGAGGTGGCCGAGGAGGAGGAGGCGACGTTGATATCGAGAGGCACCGAAAGCGTCGACATCGAGTAACCACTACCACCCGCACTCTCGTTCTCTCCCCCATGTTCCTTCCTTCACCGTCCATATCGCCATCTCCAGTGCGGGGGGTCTACGTTTAGTTTTTTTTTGCTCGACCTTTCATTGTTTTTTTGTGGCGGTCCAGGAGCCTCAGCACATGCGTCTGTCTCAGTTCGCTCACGCACCCAGCTATCTCGCCCACCGCCCATCTGCCCCTCATCTTGATCCTCCTCCCCCCCCCCGCTTCCTCCCCATCGTCATCCTCTCCCTCATCCTCATTCTGGGTGCCAAGTCTATTTTGAGACCTCCTCCGCTTGGATGTCGAAACAACTGGCCCCCCCCCTCCTACGAATGAAATGGGGGCGCCAAGGCCGAGAAGTTATCAGAAGTCGATCCTCGAGCAGCTGGCGAAGCCACCTCGACTGTCGACGCTAACTCATCATCTGCAACGCCAGTGAGCATGGAGGTGGAACAGAAGGCCGCTTCACGTGAACCACATTGTAGTCCAGCGTTGCCCCCCCCTGGTCCTGAGTGTCCCCGGGTGGTCATGACCCCGCCCCCTGCCCCGAGTCCCTGGCCACACATATGGCCCCCGACTATCGAAATACAGGCTTGCTAAATACATCGAAGTCGATGGAAGGCGGCCGCGGAGGAGGCGCCTGCGGTCGCTGAGGAGGTGCAGGAGCCCGTCTGGGCCACGTTCGAGCGGGACCCTCGCGCCTGGCTCGGCCTTCTTCGTCGATGCGAGATCGACGAGACGGCCCAGCAGAGCGTCTTCCTCCTGGCCCAGTTCAGCGATGAGGGTCATCGCGAGGCCGACAACGCGTTGTACAAGCTGTTCAAGAATATGGGCGAGGGGAGCCTCACGAACCCGTCGAAGTTCGTTCACAAGTGCGTGACGAACGCGCGGCAGGCCCTGGAGCAGCAGTATCACACGGGCCAGCGGCGTCGGTAGGCTGACGACGACGACCTTAGCTGACGCAACCTCCCGTGCTCACGGTGCGAGGCTGCGGTGTGCATTTAAGTGCGGCGCCACCTCTCTTCGGGGCCCCTTAGGGTACATGGGGCCTCTTTCGCGGCTTGCTGCTGAATCGATGTCGACTTGTGTTTTCGAGTTTGATGGTCGAGGACGCGGTGGAGCCGCGCGTGGCGTCGCGCAGCGAGGCACCGCAGCCAAGGCCTTCGAGGACCCCGCCTAGGCCCTCGCAGCGCCGCAGATGATAAGCGCGAGGAGCAGGGCACAGTCGACTGTCGATCTCGGCTAGAGACGGCGCCGCTGCAGATGCAAAAAACAGAGCCGTCGCCGTCGTCGTCGTCGTCGTTCGTCGCCGCCGCCGCCGTCGTCGTCGTCGCTCGTCGTCGTCGGTGGCAGCGTGCCTGGCGCGCGTTCGCCGCGCACTCGTGGACGACCCCCCCCATCTCCTTGAACCGTTTGTACAACACGCTGTTGGTCTCGCGATGGCCCTCATCGTGGTCGTCGTCGTCGTCGTCGTCGTCGCATCGACTATCGATGCTCCCTCGCTGATGCTCTCTCGCCGCCCCCTCCCCCACCGCCGCTACCCTCTCGCCGCGCCGCGCGTCGCGGGCACCGTCGAGGCGCAGGCCGCCCCCCCCCCGCCGAGGAGGAGGATGGGGGGTGGGAGCGACATGAGGAGGGGGAGGGAGTGGGGGAAGCGGGGGGGGGGCATCAGGCTGACGAGCGATGGACCATTGATGCGACGGGGTGCCGAACGAGGCGCGCGCGAGCGCTGACATGGGCAATCGCTGGGCGCGTCCAGCCACCCCAGCGGTCATGAGCTAAGATAGTTGGTGGCGAGGTGATGGCCACCATGACCATCACCTCGCCGTGGATTGGCGAGGTGACCATCACCTCGTCATCCATCGACGTCGGCTGCGATCGAGGTGGTCGCGAATCGGGCCACCCAAACTGGCACGCCCAGCGCCTCATGGGCCGCGTGGGAGGTCAGGAGGTGGGCTGGAATATGGGGGAGGGCCTGGAGGAGGGGACAGGGCCTTATGCATCACCATCTTACCGTCACCATTTGGGCTCGTAGCGCATAGGTGCAGTCGACATCGAAATGCGTCCGCATCGGCATCGCCATGGCGAAAGCGGCGGCGGCACCCACCGCAAGGGCGTCGTGCCTCGCCACCTTCAAGGGCGTCGTCGACTTCGTGCGGGCGGTGACCGCCCAGATGGAGGATGCGGATCGGGCCCAGGTGATCGAGCGCCAGGTCGCCCACGTGAAGATGATCGTCCGTCGTGGCGGTTGCGCCAGGGATGACGCGACTCAGACCGTACACGCCATCAACGCGACAGACATCCTCGCGGCCGCCCAGAAGCGCGAGCTGATAACTGCAGTAACGGAGTCGGTGACGATGGACATCGCCATGACGGGCAAGCGTGACGGGCGCAACTTCAACGTGCAGTACCAGACGCACCAGTACCCAGAGCACTACCTGACGACGGAGATGTGGGCGCTGCTACAGGACCCCCACCTGGGGGTCGAGGCGAAGCTCGATAAGGTTGGCGAGTACTTCGTGCACACCCTCGGCCTGCACTACCCCGACCAGAAGACGGTGCCTCGCTTGGCCGCCCTCGTGGTCGCGAGCGAGATCGCCGCGGGTCGGGAGCCTACGCCCGCGCAGGCGTTCGAGTACAAGAACCAGCTCAAGGACTCGACATCGACATCGCGCGCGCTCGACGTCGAACGCGCGACCCCCGCATCGAGCGCCCAGGTCTCAGCATCGGGGTCGGGGGTTATATGGGCAGGATCAGGGGGAGAAGGTGGGTGAGGAGGAGGGCGAGGCGACGTCGATATTGAGAGGCCCCGAACGTGTCGACATCGAGTAACCACTATCACCCACACTCTCGTTCTCTCCCCATCCCCACTGCCCCCTCCCTCTCCGCCCACATCGCCATCTCATGTTTCGGGCCAAGGTTTTCACCCAGCTTTTTTCAAGTTGTTGCCCCGCCTTTTATTGAATTTGCTGGCGATCCAGGGGCCTCAACCAGACGACCCCGCTCCCCCTAGGGCACCCCACGGGGCTACATGCTCGAGGCTGGGCGCCCGATGGGGGTCGCGCGCTGCCCAGAGGAGCAGATCAAGAAGAAACGTGCATCGAGGCGCTCGGCGCAATCGTCTGTCTGCAACTACCCCCTCCTTGTGTCGCAACTCGTCGAGATCGAGCCGCAGGTGCTCGGGGCTTCCGTGCTCCCCAAGCCTCAGTTTAGCGAGGCCCTGCTCCTGCAAGCAGGGCAGATCACGAAAGCCCGCAAAACGAACGGAATATATGAGCACCCCTCGGGGGGCAGCAGCAGCATGGCCCCGTTCGAGCGCCCGAACCCGAACAGCAGGCACCAGGACGCATTCATGCAGCAGATGAGCACGATGGTTAACATGTTCGGCCAGCTCATGGGCACCGCATCGGCAGGAGGGGGTCCGCGGCAGGGCGACATCCCGCTGACCTTCTTGAATGAGCCCCCATCGGGCTTGCGGGGGACCTCATCAGCAGGGTCCCTCGAGCCGCCGACGACGCCCGCTCCAAAGGGCGCCGTGCCGGATCCTGGCTCGGGGACGCCGCCGCTCCAAGCTTCGAGGAAGCGCGCGCTCGCCGAAGTCGATGACGACGAAGACGATGAGGAGCAGCATCCAGCTATGAAGAAGCCCGCCGCTGCCAGCGGGGGGGCCGCGGTACGGCAGGAGGAGATCGACGAGTACATCAAGAATATGTTGGAGGAGACCGAGACGACGAGAGGCAAGGGCAAGGCCAAAGCTAAGGCCAAGGCCAAAGGCAAGGCCAAGGCCAAGGCCAAGGCCAAGGCCAAGGCCAAGGCCAAGGCCTGCCCAACATCGACGTCGACCAAGGCGCCCCCGCTACCCGCGCTCAAGAAGCAGCCCCCCATCTATTACAAGGATTATGCCATCTATACGGACGAGAAGAACTCCAAGTGGCGGGTCAAGAAGGTGGGCGTTGTCTGGGACAAGATGTTCAGTTGGGGGACCTGGGGCGCGTACGGCGGCAACGACAAGAAGGCGTGGAAGGCTGTGGTCGAGTGGATCGACGGTGACAAGGGGAACTGCTAGGCGGTGCAGCAGCGCTCCGAGTTCCGAATTAAGGTGGTGCGCTACGCTGGGCATAGCGCTCCCTGCAGGGCACGCCGATACAATCGTTTTGTTCGCAGATATATCGAGATCGAAGTTTACGGAGTGGCGCTCGTCGTAGTGAAGTCACGATTGGAGCGCGACCCCGCTCAGCTGAGCATTGTTTTACGCTGGTGTAGGGCAGCAGCGTTTGCACTTGCAGTTGCATCGTGTGTTATCTTTTCGTTCAGTGCGCAGACGGTCAGGTTCGCATGTGCCACGGGGACGTTATCCAGCCATCGACGTCGGGCAACACGGACTCAGATCGATATCGCCATAGGCGTCTGCACGCAGCGCGTCATTGGGAGTGACGCCCTTCTGACTGCCTCAATGTGAACCGAACAAATCCATTGTGTTATTGTTATCTCTCCCTCTCTCTCCTCCGCAGTAACACAGTAAACGATTGTAGAGTGAGAGTAAGATAGTAGAGGATAGATATAGGAAGCCTGGAGCCGAAGATGGGGCGAGCTCATAAAGGTATTCGATTATCGTACATCGTGGCGTGCTCTACTATCATGGTATACCATCTTACTTTACGATCTTATTCTCACTCTACTCCGAGGCCGCCCCCTGTATCGTCTAGCGCGGCCTCCCCAGCCATTTTGGCTCGTTACAGTTGTACGTCGACGATCGAAGCCCACGTAGACTCGCAATCGCCTATCGATCCTTGCAGTTAGTGCCGATGTCCTTCACCAATTATGCAGCGCAGACGGAGACGGCCCCGCACCTGCAGTTTCCGCTCCCGCCAGGCCTGGAGAATATGACGCCGTTCCCGCCGAGGGACGAGGTCATGCGGGGGGCGCTCACTCCACCAAGCTTCACGCTCAGCCCGAGCATGGACTTGAGCGATGACGAGCTCGGCCTCCGGCCAGCGCTGAAGAAATACAAGCCCGCCAAGCCCGCGGGCGACATGGAAAAGAAGGTGCAGTTCCACCCGATGAAGGCCGCCAAGATGGCGCCGTACCTGGAGGGGCCCACGCCGTGGAAGTTGGTGCAGATCAAGCAGCGGGCTGACGAGGACGGCATCTTATACCCGCAGTACTGGGGCACGCTCTGGTACCGCAAGAAGCTGAGGAACCACTTCTTGAGGCGCTACGTGAAGGCGGGGTGCAAGTGCAAGAAGGACGATGATGGGGAGGACGACGTGTGCTTCTATTGTAGCCGTGTGCACTATATGGTCATGCTAAAAAACCACCAGCGGGATGAGGATGATCTCGGAATGAAGCTCGACATCAAGAAGTGCAGCGCCTTGCTGTGCGCTTTGGATTTGCAGGGCATGCCTCCAGCTAAGCCAATGCATAAGCGCAAAGGCATGAGGCGTTTCTTTTCGTAGGTGCAATCTCGCATGTAGTGCGATCAGCACGCCACTGACGGCGCAATCGATATCGACGACGGAGTGTGTCTTTCAATATGCTGGGCGGTGTGGTTTGATGCCAGCGATACCGAGGTGGCGTGGGTAACCGCGCACATCGACATCGACGCCCACGATGAACGAATGTGCTGGGGATGTATGGCACGCGCTTTGAACAAAACACCATATCATCATCGCCATCACCGTCATCATCATCATCTTCCTCATCACCATCTGCAGCATCACCGCCATCATCATCATCGCCACCATCACCATGAAGGAGGAGGAGGGGGATGGGTGATTGAGAGTGGAGGGGGAGATGGAGGATGGAGGAATGAGGATGGAGGACCCCCGAGGCAAAAATATATCTCCTATGGCCGGTTTGCCTGCGCGCCCCGCGGTCGAGCTCCGTCCGTCGGAAAGCCCATCGGCCAGCATTGAGATGGGGGTTTTGTGATGCAAGAAATCGACATCGATAAAAGCATCGACATCGACGCCAGTAGAGACATCGAACTCGATAGAAACATCGACATCGATATCCGAGAGAGCGTGATCCACCGCCGCTTTACTGTGGAAAATTGCCAACCTTTTCCTCCGGGGGGTCCCCCCCCCCCCCCCCCACTTCCGAAAATCCCCCCCCCCTGCTGGAAACCCCATCCCCCCCCCCCCCCCCCCCCCCCCTCTCCCCCGGCAAAACCCCCCCCCTCCCCTAACCCCTCTCCCCCCCCCCCCCCCCCTCCCCTCGAAACACCGGGGGGGGGGTCACAAACCCGAACCCCTCCCCCCCCTTTCGGATCGGCGAACCCCTCCCCCCCCCCCCCCCCCCCCGCCCCCCCCCCCGCCACTCACCGCCAGCAAACGACTCCCGGTCCCCACCACCGTCCGCATCACATCCCCCACTGGTGTTCCCAGCACCACTGTCCTCACCACCGCTGTCCCCACTGGTTCCACCACCGCCCCTACTGTCCCCACCAGTGGCCCCACCACTGTCGCACTGTCCCCGCTGTCCCCAGAACTGTTCCCACCACGGTTCCACTCTCCCCACTGTCTCCACGGCCCCAACCACTGCCCGACTATCCCCACTGTCCCCACTGTCCCACTGACTCCTCCGCTGTCCCACTGAGCTGTCCCACTGTTCCCACCACTGTCCCCACTGTCCCCACCACTGTCCCCACTGTACCTCTGTCCCATTGTCCCACCGCCGTCCTCGCCACCGCCTTCACCACTGTCCCCGCCACCATTGCACCCTCCACTGTCCCACTGTTTCCACCTCATTCCATTCCCATAGTCCCCACACCACTGTCCCAACCACCACCGTCACCACCACTGTCCACTGCCCCCCCCTGTTCCCACCATTGTCCCCGCCACTGTCCCCACCACTACCGTCCCCACCACTGTCCCACTGTCCCACTGTCCCCACCACTGCCCCGCTATCCCCTCACCACTGTCCCCGCCAACACCGTCCCCACCACTGTCCGCACCCCCACTCGGTTTTCGAGGGGGGGGGGGTTCGAACCGGTAGTGACCCCCCCCCGGTTTTCCGAGGGGGAGGGGGGGGGGAGGGTTCGAACCGTAGTGACCCCCCCCCCCCCCCCCCCCTTTTCATGATGAGCAGGGGGAGGGGGGGGGGGGAGGGGTTCGAACCGGTAAGTGACCCCCCCGGTTTTCCGGGGGGGGGGGGGGGGGAGGGGTTCGAACCGGTAGTGGCCCCCCCCGGTTTTCCGCCAGCAGCGGTAGAACACGCTCTTTCCGATATCCGTTGCTTTAGGCCCGAGCGGAGAGCTGACTCCAGTTCAAAGGCTCGACGCACTACGTCTAGCAGAAGTGCAGGCCCCCGCGCCGCAGGGGGGGCATGGCGAGCGCCTCGGCTGATCCCATACGCGAGGAGGGGCTGGGAGGAGGGATGAGGGTGGAAGAGGGAGAAGAGGGGTAGGGGGGAGGGCGGGGGAAAGGGGGGAGGGCTCGGGGAGGTGTTGGCCAGAATCGAGGCGCTGGAGGCTCTCGCGATGGCTCGCCACGTGGAGACCATGAATCGCATCGGGGAGATTCGGAGCAAAGTTCGGCGCTTGGAGCGAAAGATATGCATCGAACAGGGGTCGGGCTTCACTTCGCCCTCCGAGGAGAAGGGCGAGGACAGCGATAGCGGTATGTTCCAGGACGACTATGAGGATGAGGAAGAGGAGGACAGTGGAGGTGGTGAAGGTGGAGACGGTGACGAAGACACCGAGTGCAATGGACCCGCCAGCGACGACGCACGGACGCGAGACCAGCATCGGGCCTCGAGGCGCGCGGCAGCGGCTGCGCAGGCAGCGGCTGAGGAGGACTCGGACTGAGCGCCCTCTTGAAGCATATTCTCGTCGCCATGTTGACGGGCCTCAGATTTTCACACACGGCTTTGTATACTATGGTGCCCAATGGAAGTGATGTGCAGGTGTGTCGAGTTCGCCCAGCAAGTGCTGCGCGCCAGTTTTGCAAGCCGCCTCAGAGCGACACAAATACGCGCGATGTGCGTGATCTGCTTTGCGAAAGTACCATCACATCGAAATCGTAAATCGAATATCGACGTTCGAGATCTGATGCTGGGCGCATGCTGTGGAATTGTATTAAACCTTTCTGGAGCTACCATGGGGGCGTTTGCCGACGGACGGCGTCGTATCGGACCCCCCCCTTCCCGCTCGAGTAAGCAGGCCCCGCCCCCTCCCATCGCGACCCGTCATCCGCTTCGAGTCGCGTGAATGCGGGACTTCACTTGCGGCCCTGTGTCTGCCATCATTATCTGCGCCTGTGCAAGTTTGTGTTGCGGCATGCCGAAGGTAGCTTGCCAAGGTGCATCAGAGTGCGACAACGTTTCACCCTCCTTCCGAAAACGCGCACCGCTGCGCGCGCGAGGGATGTGCATCGATGCCGGCACGTGTGCATATACATACATATAGATATACAAACGCGCATGCATGCATAATATATGCATATACACATACATACATATACACATGCATGCATACATGCGTACACGCATACATACATACATGCATATACATACAAACATAACTATTTACACAACAACGTCTTGCATTCACCATGCATAGATGCATTCTCACGCGCAGTCTCTAGTACCATCGCAGCCGTCGTCATCACCACCGCCATTCTTCCACAGCCGTTTCAGGTTCAGCGTTGCGAACATGAAGCGGGGCGCACCCGCCACGATCGACATCGATGATGAGACGAGGATGCAGCTGCGGTCGGAGCTTCTGGCCACTTCGCGGGGTTCGAAGGCGAGCGTCGCCCGCATCCTGCAGACGCTGAATAGGAAAGGCACGCTTGGGGACGAGGAGCTCGGAGGGCGAGATGAGCTACGCCAGTGCAGGATAGCAGCGGAGATGCATGGCCGCGCGAGGACGCCATGCGGACCTGTTGTGCAGACACTGGATGTCCCAGGCATCGGGCCGTGGGAATATGCACACCCATTTGCGCTTCTGCACTATATGTCGACTATCAGCGAAAAGTTTGCCAATATGCTGTCTGCTGCGCTCGACAAGGCACCATTGTGCACTTGTAGCTCGGTGTTTTACGGT